TATTCACCATTGAAGACAAGAGTGTTGTTGCCGATATATGATGACATCCTTTGAGGTTGAGGTTGATGCCTAGGAATCTAATAGGAGAGTCTGGATTTGTCCATTGTAATCTTGTCGGGGTTATCTCTATGGGAGGAGGGGTTTCCGCGGTCCACCATCCTATTGTTTTAGACCAGTTAACTTTCATTTATGAGGCTAGTTGGAATGCTTGCATTGCTCTTGTCAGAGCCTGGAACGATGATGTTGAAGCTCTGATAAGTACCGTGAGATCGTCCGCGAATAGGAGAGTAGTAGGGATGTGGAGGGGTTGATCTCGTTCGTCCCTGACGTTCTCTATCCTCTCGATGGATCTATCCTTTCTCAGGAAGGCAGCGATGGCTTCCATAACAAAAAGGAAGATTGGTGCTGCCAATGGGTTTCCTTGCCTCACCGATCTTGACATTGGGTAAGGGTTCGAGAGGAAGCCATAGACTTGGACTATCCCTTGTGCATCGTTGTAGAGTACTCTTACCCATTTTCGGAAGATTGGGCCTACTCCCATTTTTCTCATGCTAGCCTGCAGAAAGTCCCAATTTACTTGGTCGTATGCTTTTTCAAAATAAAAAAATAGGATAGCTGCGGCGATCCGTTTTTTATTGATTATTCGTGTCGATTCGCACAAAGTCATTACGTTGTCTAAAATGTGTCTCCCTGGTATGAACCCTGTTTGGTCTAGGTGAAAACATCCTCCGGTGACTCTGTTTATTCTTGTGGCTAGGAGTTTAGCTAGGATCTTGTAAGCTACATTTAGTAGAGAAATGGGTCTGTAGTTTTTGATGTCCCCTCTCTGTCTCCCTTTTTGTATAGGAGTGTTACTACTCCTGTACTCAGGACTGGGCCTAGTGATTCTTCTTCCCATGCTCTGGTGAGGAATCTGAGGAGGAGTGGTCCTAGAATATGCCAGCCTGCGATCCAAAATTCCTTAGATAGTCCATCTCTACCTGGTGCTTTGTTGGGTTTGAGGTCGATGAGGGCTTTGTGTAGTTCTTCTAAGGATATGGGTTCTTCTAGGTATTTGGCTGTTTCRCTTGTGAGGGATTGGTCTAGGTGGGCTAAGAATTTCTCTCTTGCGTTGTTCGTTGCGTTGTTCCCCCCTACTGGTGTTTTGGAGGTGTAGAGTTCTTGGTAGAAGGTGGTTGCAATGTTGACTAGTTTCGTGGTTTCTGTGGTTCGGTTTCCGTTCTCGTCGTGTAGGCATTCTATTTTGCAATTCCTGTTGTTGGCTTTGATTTTCTGGAAGAAGAATTTTGACATACTTTCGTTCAGTTCCCAATCTTTTACCCTGGCCCTTAATTGGAGGCTGTTGAGCTTGAGTTTAGTCCATTTTGTTAATTCTTCCTTAGATTTATCCAGTAGTTCTGCATAGAATTCTGAATGTGGTTGATTTTGGAGGTTTATCTCTGCTATTTCTATTGCATTTTTTAGGGTTTCTTCCCTTTCCTTTCTTTGTGACGCTAGTCTTCTGGATAATTTTGTTGTGCTTGTGCTAATGCTCTTAATGATTTGTGGAAATTTGGTAAATATGTCCTCGTTGGGCGGTATGTGTGTTTGTGAAGTTAGGATGGTTTGTAGTTCTGATTGGAATGTTTTGCTAGTGAGCAGGGCATTGTTTAAGCGGTAAAAGCTTTTACCTGTGTATCCCTCTTTAGTGAGTCTGATGGCTAGAGTTATGGCTTTGTGGTCTAATCCTTTGTGGTATGGGTTATTGTGGATGGTACAATCTTGTATGGCTCCTGTTAATGAGTCTGAGGCTAGGAAGAAGTCGATTCGAGAGAATGATGTTCTACCTTGTGAGGTTTTCCTGATGCWAGAGTATTTTMTAGTATCTGGGTATAGGAGGCGGTATGGGTCCARTAGGTTTTTCCTAATTATGAATTCGTTTAGTTYTGCGCTGTTTGTTTGGGGTGTGGGATCTTGTGAATGCGATATTTTATCTAGATTGGGGTTCTGAACTGAGTTCCAGTCTCCCATAATGATTGTGGATGTTAATGTGGGGATGAGTTGTTCTATTGATATTAGGAATGGGGTTTTATCTTGTGGTGTGTTCGGGCCGTATATGCCTATGAGTGAAATTTCTTCTTCCTTGAAATTTATGTCTAATTTGATCCATCTGCCTGAGGTGTTGTCTTGGTTGACACTTTTTATTTTTAATACTTCATTGGCTGGAGATTTTTGGTGTAGGAGGATGACGATTCCTGCTGATCCATTGTCTTCAGCTTTAGACCAGAAGGCTGTTTTGACGTGTGTTAATTTTCTGATGATGGCCGATTGTATTTTGTCATGTTCGCTGCTGTTGGTCAAATATGTTTCTTGGAGGCATGTTATGTCTGGGGGGTTGGGGCCAAACCAACCTATAGTTTCAGTGAGGTTTCTCCATTTGATTGGGTTGTCTAGTATGGAGGCTAGGCCGTTGATATTCCATGATGCGCAGGTGATTTCGGGTTGTTTCCTGGTTTCCTTGAGAATGTCAGCTTCGGTGGTGGGTTTGAATCTCTTTGCGTTATTGTTTGTCCCACTATCCAGTTGACCGTTGGGATGCTCATCCATTGCTGGTTGTGCTGGTCAGGTCGGATGTGGGATTAACGATTGATTCATGTGGGGGTGTTGTCGGTCTTTTTCATTATCTCTTCCTTCTCCTTTCTCTTCTCTTCCTTCGCCTCCTTTTCTTTCTTCAACTTCTCTAGTGTCTCGTCCTCGTCCCTGCCCAACCATTCCTCCCTCATGAAGGCGGTTGTGCTGTAGGCGATTCTGTCGACTTCATCCTTGTGACCCAGCAATGAGTATGGGATTTCGCTGATCATTTCCCATGGCTTCCATTGCAGGCCCTCCCTCGGTTGGGCTTGCTGGTCGTAAAGAACCAGAACTGGCCTCAGATTGCTGTAGCGACTTTCCCCGTTGCCGTCCTCCCAGTGCACGTCCAGGCCGTCTTGGTCTATCACTTCCATTGCTAGGGGGCGGTCGTCTAAGATGTTTGCCCTCGCGAAGCTGGGACGTTTGTGTGTGTCCTGAGCTGTGATGATGTGCAATGAGTGTCGGACTGCAATCTGCCATTCCTTCTTCTCTGTGTTGTATCGGAAGGGCAAGAAGGGGACTGTGGGGGAAAGGGTGCGTGCATCCAGTGTGGCCGCCACTGTCAAGTCCTGAGGATTTTGATCTGCTATCTTGTTGAGGGAGTGAGAATCKTCTCCTAGCTCCAGGTTYTGCTCTTGCAGGTAACTTGTTTGCCTTTCAAGGATGGCGATYTGTCTTCTYTTTTCCTTCTTCAGGCTGTTCTTTTGCTTGAGCAGATTGTTTGCCAGTGAGATCATTGTCGTTTCCTCTGCGGTGCTGTTGACATTTGGTGATCCCTCCACCTTTGTGGCCTGGTCTGCACYGTCGTCTCGCAGGTATGAGTTGGGCCACTCAATCGGGTGTTCAGTTATTGYTGGTGTTGTGAGTGGGGTTCCTGGGTAGGAGTCTGTGTCCATTGCATCTMTGTGCTGTTCVGCGTACTGGAGGGCTAAAAATTCAGAGAAGGTGTTCTCTGTTGGCAGCGCGTCGTAGCGATTGGGGGAAATTGGGAATCCACCTGTGACATTTGCAGTTGSATTTRACTCCTTCTTYAGGATGCTGATGTGTCTGGCATGTGCCAGCCTGATTTCSAAGTCCACSTCTCTGCGTACCTTCAGCGATTCAATGTATTCGTCCAGCCATTCCAARRTGYTGTTTGAGTCCTCTTCTGGCAYTGTGGTTTGGCTARAGTCTGCTGTTGTCGYTGGTGGTACTATGTCYAGGTGYAWTTCGTTTTCCCTGCTTGTGGTTGATGTGCTGCTRTCTCTGAGCTTCTTTGTCCCTGGAGTCTTGCTTGTTCCTTTGGGAKCTTCCTCCTCGTTCMTKTTCTTTCTTTTCGCTGGAYCSGAGTCGTTCTTTTTGTCCCCATTTGTGTTCTTWGGTTCGAGATCTCTTCTGGTYTGTAGGATTTCGAGGTARGATTTTTCTGCCTCTCGTCCTATGTTATGCACRTCGCTGAGAATTTGCCTTYTGTGCATAGTCTGTTCTMGCAGGTCCGCATTTCCCAGAGMTGCATTTTCATATCTGTGAGTTGCTYTGTCATTCCTTTTGCCTCCCCCTTTTTGCCATCTGCTTCCGTGKGGGGGGAAGAYGTCAGGTTWGCATGCTGGTTCTGGGTCTGCTAGTGTCCATATCCATGCTGGATTGTCTTTGAGATCATCAAAGACCCATCCTGCGTGGGCTGGGTCGTTGATGATCCAAATGCCTTTCATTGCTTCCGCTTCTATGAGCAATGAGGGGTGCAGTCTTCTGCCTTCTCCTTTTCGTGTGTTCAGGGGGCAGAGAGGGTCGTTCCCCATGTGTTCAGTGTGTACTTAATTTGTAGTGCTCTCGACTTTGTAATTTCTGCTTTCAAATTGGCTTATACACGATTGGTCGTCTGTGAGCTTTTGCATTTCGAAAAAATTGTATTCTCATTGTATGGTTCCTTGCAACAGAGGCATTGAGGCAAATGCAGAGTTTTTTTTTTTCTTTGTTCATTCCGTCTTTAGTACACTGGGAAAAGCAATGACGTCAGGCTTCAGGTTGATTGACTTTGTGACCTTTATTGCAAACGGATTGCCTTTGATTGCCTGCAATTTTCATGTGGCATCATGTCATGGTCACGGTGGTGATCTTTGTTCTAATTGGGCAGAATCGTTTGCACAATTTTCCAGGGTTTCCTTCTGAGTCAAGAAGACGACGAAGCACCTGAGGTTGTGTGGAAGTACTCCCCAACTGTCGACAGACTGAATGCGTCAGCAGCATGTGCGGCGGTATCTGCAGGAGGTGTTGATTCGGCCCGGCGGCAGCTGGGCAATACAGCCAAGTCTGTGGATGGTGGCGATCTGGAGAGAGCAGCCGAGTTTGGCTCGAAGACAGCGAAGGACAAAGATGAAGTGGGCAGGAGAGACAAAAGACGGCAATGGAGAGCTTCTTACCGTACGGAAGATGATCTTACCAAGAAAGAGTTGGAGGAGGGAGAAGGAAGGGAGGAGGAGGTTGGGGCCCAGAAGCGACCGCAATCTTCTCACTCTATTGTTGAGGATATTGTGTTGAAAGTCTCCTCTCTCCATTCTGGAAACAGTGCTTTCAGTTCGCCGTCACAGAAGGTAACCAACGTGGTGAGAAGAATCATAAGTAAATGGGCAGAATTGACTGAGAACAGTGAGAAGTTAAACCACTAGTACCTCCGCCAGTATTGGGAAATTAGGGAAAAGAGGACGTTTTCCCATTTTCCCCGAAGAGTTCGGAGGTACCACAGGCTCGGTCGGCATCAGTTGTGTTTCCCATTACCAAAAAAAAGGAAAAAGAGAAGAAAAGAATGAAAGGAAGGACGTCGGGGAAGGCCGTGAAGGAGATGTGCTCACATCAGAACTCAAAGGAACGCATCTACCCAGAAACATAGCCAGTGTCGTTTTTTGTATGTGTTTTGCTTTCTTTTTTTGGTGATCCGCGTTTAGTGCCCTGCCAACGAGAGGCAAGGCGCATTCCACGGGCAGTTGACACTTTGCAACGGGGGGCGCATTCTCACTCGTACTCCAGATTCTGTATCCAGCTGCTTTCACGTCCAAAGTGTTGTTGCTTTTTTGTTTTCTTTTTTTCTTTCTTTTTTTTCTGCTGTCGTGATTACAGTTGGGCTGCATGGCCGTTGGGAGGGCATACTGTCACAGGTACTCCAGATTCTGTATCTAGCTGCTTTCACTTTCAAAGAGTTGTTGCTGAGTTTTTGCTTTTTTTCTTTTGTTTGTTCCTGCTGCCATGATTTCAGCACAGCTGTAACGCCCGTTGAAGGTGCTTACTCTCACATGTGCCCCAGAATCTGCATCCGGCTGCTTTCACGTCCCTGGCGTAGTTGATTTTTTTTTTTTTTTTTTTTTTTTTTTTTTTTTTTTTTTGTTTTCCGAAGAGAAGCATAAAAAAAAAAAAAATGGGACCCGAGAGCGTAGCTCAGGGGGTACACCCTGTCTCTTATACACATCTAGATGTGTATAAGAG